TCCACTTTGTTTTCAGCCATTAACATTTGAGTTGTGTACGCGCTCGCAGCAATTGGACAGTTGCATAGCGCTGCTACATTATTCCAGACGTTACATTAGTTTCCACGCGTTAAGTTGAGTAAAATATAGCGGAATCTGTTTACGTAGTAGTGTTAACGAGAAATCTGTACGCCGGGAGTGGAGAAATGTATCGACGTACGTCTTGGCTGCCCATTAATTGCATCCACTGACGCGCCATAATTTGTACGCGCGCTACCATATCGGACTCGCCGCGGCAACCGCGGTCGAGAGTTGTCATTTATTAGAGATATCTCGGATCGTGTTGAAAGAGAAGTTACAGCGTCATTCCGCGCGGTATGCGTATCGTGACGCGCGCGGTAAATCGAGCCGAGAAAAACGATCTTAGCAGCGTTGTGCTTCACGTCATTTCCATCGAACCGCTCGTGTAAGTCAAGATTGCAAAGTGCACGCCAACAGAATTTATTACAATGTGGTTAGCCTAGCTGCGTAGGTTGCGTCGGCATTAACCACCTCGCTCGCGCTCGCCTCTTTCTCTCTCTCTCTCTCTCTTTCTCTCTGTGTGCGAGCTCGGAAATGTATATTTGTATCACTGATTACACCCGTGCTGCCTGGTGGAATCGCCTATTCAGTAACGTATTAAAAGTCATTCGTTCTGCAATTCGCGGCAGTAACGAACGCGATAACATCAGGACGTGAGAAAAGTACTGCATAATTACTTGAAACTTATACCGCTAGAGAGCCGTTCACGATAATGTCAGTGTTTTCTACATATTCGAATGACGCTACATGTGAGAACATATATAAGAATGCGCATGGCATTATGAAATCACCGAGACATCGCGCCATAAAAAAGTATAAAAGCTACATCCTGCATTAAATCATGCGTTTATTACCGAGATCAACCATCAAATGTGCCGTACAACGGTTTATATTTACGCTGAGAGACCGACAATTGTATTAAGTCGTCTGAATATCGCGATATTATAGTGAAAAGTTTCTATACCTCGCTTTAAAGAAGAAAAAAAAAAAAAGAATCTGTAATAGAAGTTGCTCAGCTGCAACTTTACAATACGTTCGTAGAATGCATTTACATCTCGCGCAAAAGAAAAGAGAGCGGAGTTTCGAATGAAGGGCGTCGAATCTCCGTCTTCTCTTCCATTACTGTTCGAAGGCGCCATGCCTATCGCGTCGAAACTCGAAGAGGAGCCGAAGAGAGCGCTTTATGGTGGTAAAGAGTGTTTGTCCGTGTGGGCTTCGTGTTGGTAACGAGCGGATTATACTCCTGGCGCGGTATCAGATGGTCCCGTACCTGGTTCCATGGTTGTTAATTAGGATGGATGCCCACGCCTTGGGCGACTTTTACGAGCGGATACGGCGCGAACCGAAATAGCGCATCCAACGTTAACGCGTTCCTACCTTCCTTCGGCGAACTGCCGTAAGCATCTCGATAAGAAGGAAATACTAAAAAGAACGCGGCGAGGGGTCTATTTAGAATTATTTAGATGAGTTCCGAAAATCAGATATCGCGCCGTAAAGGCGATTGTGAAACGGAGATGTTTACAATCTTGCGTGAATTGATGTAGCATCGAATTTATTACGGTATCTGTCGCGTCTATCTAGTTTCTGCGGACCGCTTCTCAAAACAATGTTGTCCGCGGAAAAGAATCGCGCGTGAGATATTCCGCCGTAAAAAATTTTTAATTTACTATCGCAAAATTATTGATCAACGACGATCGATGTAAAGGGGATTTTCATTTTATTTAATGTTGCATTTTTTACAATTGCAATTCTCTCTCTTTCTTTTTTTTTTGTTAAAATAATACGGTGCTTCTCTAATTGATTCGCTTGTGAGAGTGTATTTCCGTGTAACGTTGCCAGAAAAGTTAGTGGAAGCCGCACATTTCGTGACCTGACGAAATACGTCGCGGATAAATAAGATGCATCGCTCTGTACGCGAGCCGTTGCATTGGAGCACGCATAAAGGAAGATCAATGCGACGGCATTGTCGGGCAGGGGATATATACGAGGGATTTTCGCGAATCGCGAGTCGCGGAGGTACGAGGTAACGCGGCAGTAAATCAGCATCAATCGTAATTTTTAATCCTTCGGCAGATCGACGAGTCGATTCCATTCGACGAGGACCAAAGAGTAACGAGCGAGACGGTATCCTCCGCTACGGAAGCGCGTTGCTTGCCTGTAATAAATCAACTGCGCTATTCTGATTTCTGTTGGCAGTAACAGTTAGTAGCTGCTGCCCGCCCGAGGCACTTATTCCGATTATCGACCATGTCAGAAGAAACTTTTTCTCAATTAAAGAACGACCAATTTCCTCGCTTCGAAGTGAATTCTTAAAATCGACGCGTCGATTTTATCTCGCTTCGATCTCCAATACATCGATTTTTATAACCGTGCCGTCAATTCGACACGCCAATAATTTTTTCTAATACGTATCAATGGGCGAAAATATATCCTTTCCTATGCGAATAGTCCGATTGAAAACGCGGTGCTAGCTTTCTACCGTGGACGAATATTTTTTCGTCGGTCCGTTGGGCGACTTGGCCGGAGTTAAATCGCACGGAAGATCGACGAGGCTGCGAGAGTAACGAACGAGGCGATACCAGGCGTATCCCTCGAATGAAATCGCGCCGGCTGTCCGTAGTAAATCAACTGTCCTATTCCAATCTTTGTTCGCGGTGCTAGCAACAGCCAACGGCTGCCGCCTGCCCGCGGCCGTTTGGCTCTATCTATCGGTGCGGGAGAGAAGTAATCTGGTGAGTCGTAAAACGTGTCAGAATGTCCAACAAACACCTACTCATTAGCCCAGGTAGGCCGGACCGTGGCAGGCGGGATTGCACAAGCACGCATTAACTCCGTGTGGGTAAGTTATGGTTCGGGGAGAGCATAATTCACCTGCAGCCAAGAAAGTGTGGGTTTATACGTCTCTCGGACCTGTTCGTGTGAGGGCCCTGGCTCCTCGTTATTTTATCGGGTGCCGGCCGCCTCCAGAGTCGGCCGGCTAATTGAAATCCACGTTCTTAAATTCGGGAAAACTGCCGCGCGGCACTGACAAGTCGATCCGCGCCGGCGAGTAACTTATCGCTCGCCTCGCGCGCCGCGACGTCGCATTGTGCCCGGTAGCGGAGAGCCTCGGAGTCGACGCGCGATGGAAAATCACTTTCTCAATTTGCCTCCCAAACGACTCTCTTGGCAATAAGAAGAGACGCGGAGAGACTCGTCAAGATTACCGCAAAATTTATTCCATTTTCTATCTATAAAGTCTGTTGAAATTGCAAAATCGCTGTAAATCACTTTGATAATTCGATTGGACGCCGCGTCGAGCACCCCGCGCGCTCGGTCGTGTTCGAAGAAACGACAGATTTGCGTACGTGTATGGCCGATAGATCAGCTGGAAAGGAGCAACGATCACTGTTGGATCGGTATCCAACAGGTACATGCGTGTCTCTCGTGAGGGTCTCTCACCGGGGTATACCGCGATGTGTTCCTATACCCAAGTTGCATTTCCACACGCGGCCGACGCGCTCGTACGTACGCGCGGCGCGTGTGTGTAGGCGAAGCCATGCAGGAAGCTGCAACAGCCACGATGGCGCACCCGCCTCGTACGAGAAGCCAGATAGACATCTTCGCCAACTCTCCCGCCGCCGTCTAACTAATTGGCTACTGAATTACTGGGCGACATGACCAGTTATTGCTTCGTACCTCACCTCGGCCGGGTATATCGGATCCTGGATCTTGCGGTTCGAGAAGTGCGGAGCCCGTATAATTCCCCTCTATCTTGCGCGCTCTCCCCTCGCATTAATGACGACTCGTAATACAGCGTTGATCGCGAAATCTCCATCCGTAATGGGCCGTCCGTGCTCGTCCCCTTTTGATGCGTCATACATATTTATCCAGACGGGGTATACATTTGCGCGGATTTATGGCTTTCTCGTAGTTCATTCCGCGTGACATTCTGCGATATTCGAAATTGCGGCACGTCGTAAAAGCCATGACGGATTCTCAGAAACGCGCAGATCACAACGGATGAATTAATGGCGGTATCGTCACCGCTCATTCGCGATCGCCGAAAGAGAATGTATGGCGCGTGCAATTTGGTAAAACGTTCAGCAAGATTTCTTCTTTCACATTCGCGAAACGGGCGGGCGAAATATATTTGAAGCGCGGTCGATGAGGAATGGGAGTTGTAGGAGATCTATCAGTGCCCGGGCGAGACGCAGACTCGTTGTCTCCTATGCGAGTGTTTCCGTGCAGCAGCGCGAGTTAAGGTACCGGTACAAACCCGAGGTACCTCCGGGTGATATACGACTTTGTGGGCGCTCGCGCGATACGCCGGCACTAAAAGGCTTAACGAGCATCTTCGTACGCTACGGCAGTCCAGAGTAAACAGGACGTGGCTTATCTTGTCACGAAAAATCTGCGGAGGAAGGCTTCCGCAGGCTGACTCTTATTTTCCTTCCCCCATTTTTTTCGCTCCGTCTTTTTTCATAATGCCACGGCAAACACGCGCGCGACGAACGGTCACGTTGGGGGGTTCAGCCTATTTTGTAATTTTTTTTTTTTTTTTTCCTACCGATAAAAATGGCCACGGCCGCGTTAATGGTTATGAGATCTTAATGTGTGTGCTCAACGTTCATCACGAGTCCGCGCGGGATATGTAATATTCTTTGATTTTATCTCACCTTTCGTACGCTCTCGCTGTGCATTTGGAGTTTTCACCCGCGCGTTTCCTTTATTATAACAATTTTTATTAAAGAGCGCGGAATATTCATCGATGTGAAACTTGACGGATTCTGACTCACGCGTACACGGTAGGCCCTTTCCTACGTTAAAACGATACGTGGCAGGTCGGAATATGACTCGGCTGTTCGATGACGCCGATAGCGGAGACGGCGGCGGCGGCGAAGCACTTATTTATTGCGGCTCCAATTAACATTCAGATCATTACTTTGCCACCTCTCACGTTTCACCCACTCTATCGCGCCGTAATTATGAATCTTTACAGGAAATTATTAACTCGAGCGCTTCATTATCTCCTAATGAAGCAACACGTATCGAGCCGAGCGCTGATGGAGACGTCGTTCGGCTAATTGCCGCTTTGCCTTGTGTGTCAGGCGCAGGAGCGCCAGTGTCTCGGCATTTCGTGTTACGCCCGGTACCTAACGTCGTATCGCGGGATCGAAGAACGAATGATTTTCGAGCTACGTGTTTATGTATTACGAAAAAGAAAAAAAAAAGGAGAGGAAAGATATACGTCCGTAATTGGAAGACGCCGTGAAAGGATTAAAATTTCAGCGTGAGTTAAAGCGTGACGCAAGGCTGTTTCTCACGCGAGCCCGCGACTCATTAATGCTTCTATAAATTACTTTGGAAAGTCGCGAGAGGCGCGAGACAAGAGCGTATGTGCCGAAAGAAGTGTTTAAACCAAGTTTCCGCCGGGTGCGTGTAAATTATTAGTCGAGAAAATATAACGGCGTACATATGTTGCCTTCTTGTAACATTGTACTCGTGTATACGCGCGTAGTAAATTGTGCGGTAAATAGTATGTAACGGCGCGCAGTAAATTGCCACGGCCATATAATACTGCATTCGACACTCACACAAATTTCTCTTTCGCCCACTCGTGGAAATGTCGATACCAGTAGGATGCTTACGTCATGGCGCGAAAGTAAATTACATTAAAAATTTTGCACGCCCGCCGGGCTCTCCGTTTCAACAGCCCCGGCAAATAGTTACCGCGGCTTCCATTTTGTCGATGTTGTCGATTTCAATTGCAAATATCAAGTGCCACTTTTTTTATCACCGCGAGCCCGCACTGCAAATTACGCAATATCCCTCTTGAGCGTGGATGCATTTCAGTTTTCAGGCATTTCACCGTGCGATCAATATGGTTTTTATATATCGTTCTCCTCACGTTCGCGCATTCCTCTTTCATTCCGCGGAATCTGCGCGACTTAAGATTTTGCAGACTTACTTTCTCGGCGTAGCATTTATTCCGTGATAAAATTATTGCAAGCACAGAACTACTAGCACAAAGTTACCGGCGACTTGCCACCGCCGAGTGTGTCATTAAGTTCTACAATCGGTAGTCGCGCGATATAATCACGATAAACATTTATTCTTACACACGTCTTATATTTTCAATATACACGTACGATATTCATCTATCCTTGAATTCAACGATATCCTCGGACGGGCAATCTTTTACGATTTCGCTTACGGCTCGCATCTGACGGGGCAGCATCTCGTCTAAAAGATAATGGCTGCTATTATCGGAATATTAATTCGCTTTAAAACGTCGCGGCACTCGAACGGTAGCGTCGAGGCGCGAGGCGCGGGCGCGCCGGGGTACGAAATGGCAACCACTGTCGCAGCCACCTGTGCGTCAAGCTTGGGTGTATCCATGTTATAAATCCGGCAGATAATGACGACATGTTTATACTCTTCATTTGTATGCTAGGCGAGGAACTGTTCCTGGCCGCACACCGAAGCCAGTCTGACTGCTCGAATGCTCGGCTCTCTTGTCCCGCAGTGGCGTAGCTACATTCGTGCGTACTAGCTCTCCGCCGTTCAACGAAAATTTATGTATCCTCGGCTGTGTACGATGCATTACAGTTATTCTCACGTAGCCAAGCATCTCGCTGTGCATCGCCGCGACGATGAGATCGGATGCCGCTAAGACGTTTCGAATGGAGCCATTTGTATGGGTGACATCTTGGGCATCTTTTTTTTTCTTTGGTAAAGATTCGTTATGCTAATGTTATATCCTAGTTATACCTCAGTTATATCATAAATCTATCGTTATGCCGTGTTGACGCGTCACGAAGGCAAATGGATGAATATCTCTTTCGGCTAGCGGCTTCATCTTTTATAGCACTTGACAGATCAATTGCCTGAATCATTCTAGAGATTTTTTTAAAATAGCTACTGCGACTTATTAATAATGTTTTTTTTTTAATATCTGAAAAATAGCCTTCTGTAAATTAGTCAACATATTTTTCGGTTACAATAATCGAAAGCATTTCACGGAAAAAAATTGATAATAATTTATCATCTTGAATAAACGTTGTCGGCAGGCATATTTCACGGGTAAAAAGAAATCGACCCTTAAAAGCGCGCAAGAAATTGTTTCCAGCTAATCGTAGTTTATAAATCTCGAAGGCGGGGATCAGCGGGGCGAGCCGAAAACGCGGAGCCGCGTTCTCGATTCCACCTCAGCCGCAGCCAAAACCGCAGCCGGCGCGCGCGGTATCAGCGCGCGCGGGGGGAGAGGAAGAGGCTATTTTTTTCCACACACAGCACTGGCGACCATAAAGCACGAGATTCGTGCCTCGGCGTAAAATAGCTTTATTATACAAAATACATGCAAATTATCTTATTTATGGTTATGGCCGCTAATTATATTGCGTGCTTATACACAAAATGTCAACGTGGCCGGAGCCGCGGCGCGGACGCGTAATACGTTTGACTTTTTACGAGGCAGCTGGATGCTTCGTATATACGTCGGGCAGCGAAGGAGGGGGGGCTTATATACGTAACGTATACATTTACACGCTTAACGATCGCAAAATACCGACAGTTACGCTCGCTACGTATCGCAATATGCGAACGTTACTAGGAACAATATTGCTGGAGGAAAGAGAGAGAGAGAGAGAGAGAGAGAGAGAGAGAGAGAGAGAGAACGCATAAATGAAGGCCAGACGTGCGAGTAATGGCGCATCGTTCGAAAATTGAATGTGAGTAACGAGTAGCTAGTAAATAATAATGATTAATAACTCAAATCTCCCTACTGGCTTATCTGCAGAATATTATTGTTTACGTAGATTTTTTTATTATGAATTGGCTTTTATACTGCTACTCATTTCGTCAATATATTATATCTACCTAGTATGTAAATAACATATTTTGTATTTCATTTCACATTGTCACATATATTACACCATTTTCGTGCAGAGCATACACTTGAGGTATAAATTATTTATCATGCCAGTAAGAATTCATTACAAAATTTATATATTGTAGTTTCTTCAAGAATACCGACGATATGTTACGTTGTCACATTATAATTGAGTTGGTCATTTAATATTTCAGAAATAAAAGGTATTGATAAAACAGTTTTTAAAAATAAGCATTTTTTAGTCTCGATTTTCAGTCCGGCTATATTTTATTTTTATTTTATTTTAAATTTTCGAAATATAAATTTACACGATTTCAAGGATCTATTAATAAATATCTAGGATTGAGGTCTCTCGCAAATAAATGCAAAATACTATTTAGCATAAAGTCATATTATAAAGTTTTCGAGAGATATTGCATAATTTCACGAAAGGCACCACTTATTTATGAAACTACTTACATTTATATTTTACGTTCGGGGAAAAACATTTATCAAATGCATTATTGCGGCCACATGGATGTTGCAACGATTAAGAGAGAGGAAAAAGAAGTTTTGAGAAGCGTTTAACTTCGTTATGAGTCGTAACATATTTTCGGTGTTATTTAGTGGCCGGCGAATAAATTTCATACTCTATGATTCATTATCTGAAATGAATGCTATTAATAGTTCCAGTTCCTTACGTATTCTCTTAAGTATCGGCTCGATGCAAATATGCTTTCGTAACTTGAGGCGAACCACTGTACAGTCACACGATTACTTATGTCTATATTTTATCTTTGCCACGTGCATAGACATTTATCAAATCTATCATTGATAAGCGCCGCGAATAAGTCGCAACCATTGAAGGAGAAAAAAACGTGAGATCCGACAACTTATGCCATTATCTTCGATCCTGAATCTCTTTCTCTCTCTCTCTCTCTCTCCTACTCACTGGTGCCTCAGCGCAATTAATAACTCCGTCACGTCGTAATTACATATTCAGACACGCAACAGTGCTTAAGTTAAGAGGTTTTTCTAATTCGAGCGCCGCCGTATAAATTATAAATAGATGATTGTCGCGCAGCTTGAATTTACCTTCACGGAAAACGCGATCTTTTCTCGAGATCGTGATAAGAATCGCGTTAAGACTATGTGTAAACAGATATCTTTTTCAGAGTAGGAATTGCCATTCACAGTGTACAGTTGATTAATAATTGTGCATTGAAAGCGAACGTCGTTTCTTCATCGTTCTCGCTATTCACTTAATAGTTGCTTTTAATCAAATTATATTGCACACGGAATTTATGTGCAATGAGAATAATCAGATAACAAATATGTAAAAAAAAGTTTATTCCCGCAATAAATTACGATGTAAACATCTTTTATCGTCCGATAATCGACGCGCTGCGAGTCAAGGCTTACTTTACGAGCGAAAACTTTATATTTTCGTATCTTCGCCATTGCGATCAGACGCCATTGTCAATATTCTGGTCTTGCAATTTTCATGCGGAGTACGGGGCATATCGGCGGCCGTTTAACGCACCTAAACACGCGAATAAAGATAAAGCGGGTTCGAAAATAAATATGACCGAGGACCGAAAGTGCATTCCGGTCTTCGAATACAAAATGACATTCGTATCTAAACGACGCCCGCGACCCGCCTGGTGGAAACCAGTATCCGATTTTCGATGCGCCCGCACGGAGAGAGCGCGGTCGTGCATTCGAAATGCACGAAATAATACGTCTACCAGCATCGACTCTTAAAATATACGAACCGGCAGGCCGCTGGCCGTTGTTGGATCGCGGCCGAATAGGTTAGCGTGACAAGACCGCCTGCGAAATTTACAATATACTACTCCACCCCTCCCCCCTCCCCTCCCCCAGTGGCGCTGTTACGAAAAATGCAGACGAAATATTTCGCGGAGATTCGATTGCACGATCTGCTGACATTTTCATCGATGTCCCTCGCAAATTCGGCATTTATTTACGAGCGACATTTTGGCGTGCAATATTGTCGGCTAAAAATCTCAAATCCAAAAAAATGTGTATCGATTATTTTTATTATATTATCATCAGTGTCATGAGTGATTGACGTTCTTTTGGATTTTTTATAATTTCTAGTCTGACAACATTGTGTAAAAATGTTTTCGGAAAAGTGTATATTTAACTTAAATGGTATATAAATTGTGCAGCTAATTCCACGCCACTGCAAACGTGTTATTCTGTTTCTACGGGTTGTCTGCAACGTGAATTAAATAAAACGATTAGGACGGACAATTCCCCGGTCACGTGTTTCTGTTTCCTTTTAAATGATTTGAAAAAATAAAGTGGTCCGGCCACAATAATTGTGAGCTCGCCGCGTCTCTCGCGGAGCTATTTAAACCCTGCGTCGGTTCGCAGGTCACAAAGCAGTTTCCAACTGTCGTTCGTGCCGTTTCTCAGCGTTCCACGCCGAGTGAGTGAAGTCTCGAGCGAAATGGAGCGTACCGCTGTTTCGCTCATTTTTCTCATCGCGCTGGGCACCGGGCAAATACTTCGATTACCATCCTCTTACAAGAACGGCGTCAAGTGGGAATTCGGCACCAATGTCTTTCGCGACGACACACTGGCCCGCTCTTCCGTTGCTCGCGGTCCAGTTGCACCGATTGTTTACGAGAAGGAGCCGGTCGCGCCGATAGCGAGAAAGGAGCCAGCTGTAGCGACGGTTTACAAGAAGCTACCCGCGGTGCCGGATGTCTACACGAAGAAGTCCGTCGTCCCGACTGTTTATCAGAAGGAACCCATTGTACAGAGCGCTCGCAAGCGGCAATCGGCAGTAGTGCCGGCCGTCTTCGAGACGCAGCCAGGAGCGTTGAATATTTACAAGAGCCAACCCGTCGTGCGGAACGTTTACAGCCAACGGCCTCCGGTGTCAACTGTTCACAAAACGTATCCAGTCGTATCGAACATTTACAAGAGCCAGCCGATCAGACCAACCGTACACCATCAGGATCACCGTTACTTCCTGGTTCCCAAAGTGCCGGTCGGCGCGCAGAAAAGGACGGAGCATCACGTATGGAATCAGTACAATCCTCATCGCTCGTTTGGCAACGCGCATGCTTCGCGCAACTAGCAGCCTACTTTCCTCAAGAATATGATTACTCCAAATATCTTTGAAGAACTTGCGAGATTTATGAGAAGGATAAAACTTGTAACAATTCACGCACTAAATAAATAACATTGCAAAAATAATTCACGACGCAAAATATTATTTAATTAGTTTTCTAGAATTTTGATCTCTCTGAATTAACTGTACGATGATTAGCGATAACACGCGAGACGAATAATATTATAGAATGCATGTTTGCGCAGTCGATTGAACTAATTAGTAGAAAAAGAGCAGAAGTCTTATTCTTAATTTTCATTCGGCTCTCGCAATGTTTGCGAGATCGCGTTATCGTTAGGAAGCATCTCGCTATTTTTTATTTTTTCTCCCTTTGAGACACGTAATTCTTTATTATAATAATTTTTTTTTTATAACAACGGCTTGTTTGCGCTTCGCGTGATAACCGAGCGTACTATTGGATTTAACTGAACGCGCCAGAAAAATCTCCGAGATTCAACCGGCGAACCCCTTGTCCTCGGCCAAGCCTGACGATAATCGGGCCGTTGCGGCGTGTCGCAGCCCGAAAGAGGATCACAATGGAGTTAATTAAACATCTCAATAGCAGACGCCCGCCCGAGGGTGATTAGGCGTGCTGCGGCGTGGCGCGGCGCACACGGACGCCGCCGACGGCTATTGTACCCCTTCCTCCACCCTCCTTCCCTCCAAATGGAGAGAGCATCGAATCTCTCGGAGCGAGGAGCGCTGAAGAAGGACGGCCGGCTCTTGCGGAAGCAGGCAGCGAAAAGGAGACGGGAATAGCCGGAGAAGCTGCGGCAGCGACGACGACGGCGGCGGCGGCGGTGCGGATGACGCACGTGGTGGGACGGGGGAGAGAGAGACATGCCGGCGACACACAATGCAGGTGACAGCTCGCGCACCCCACAAGCCCTGTCTCATCTCTTTTGTTCCTGGCGTTTCGTCGGCTTTCTTCCCCGTGACGGCAAGACAACCGTGGTGCGCGCGCGGCACGGTGTGGCTCGGCTCGTCTCGTCTCGCCTCGTCTCGGCCTTGTGTGTCGCACTGAAATTGCTCAAATGGAAACGAGTGTGTCATCCTCACTACGTTCGCCTGTCACTCTTCCGCCTTCTCACTCCTTTACACGCTCCCTTCCTCGTTCTCTCCTTTCCGCCGTTTCCTCCCTCTCTCTCTTTCTGCCTATCAATTATCTATTTACCCTGCCGCGGCTTCTCGCTCACTTTAAGGCTCCAATATTTTACGAGCGGCTAACGTATATTAAATTTGCCCGGTGTGTCTTCGCGAGTCACGGCTAAAGCGCGGAAGAGATCGCGCTCGTGAGAGAAAGAAGAGGGAAGTCTCCTCCCCTTTTAAGCGCATCCCATGGGGGGGGGGGGAATAATAATGTATCATATTATTAATCGCGCACGCCGTAAGCGTGAGTAAATAACCGCGCATGGTAGCAGCGCGATCATGAGCTAAAAAGTGAAAAGCGCTGGCGCGAGTTAGTGTCCCCTCGCGATGAAAGATAGGACAAGGTGGAGAAGCGGCGAGAGAGCGCGAGATAAGAATCGCCCGAGCGAGCAACATTCGTTGCCGACGTGGTAGGTGGCGTGTCGGGTGAGGTGTAGGTGTCGTGATAAACACGCGTTACCTCAGGTTCTCTCCCGCGACGCCAGACAAACGGGAGGAAGTCTGGTTCCTTGACTTTTCCGTTTATGAAGTGAATGATGATGATTGCCAGTAATTATGACGGACGCGCTTCCGCTGTTTTTTTTTTTATTACAATCTTAGCCGAGCCATCGCACTTTTTTCCCCTGTGCGAAGCGATATCTTTTATTGTCCGTGAATGTAAAAACGAGGAGCGCGTCGTGTTGAAGAAAACAGGCCTTAAAGATAATAAGAAAAAAAAAAAAAAAAAGAAAAAAGAGAAATCGACGACGCAGCGACGTAAATAAAATCCTCGTGGAACGCTCGATTGTGATTTACGTTAGCTTCTCTCCGGCGCTAGTGATTTATCATCGTAAGCAAATTTACGATTACGGGAAAGAGAAGAAAAAAAGCGCGACGAAATCTTTATCGGCGGGTAATGCATCGCAGCTGCACACCTCAGGTTAGGTGTTTACCGTACCGCGGCGTGGAAAGTTGCGCGCGGAATTTATCCCGGCTTTCGGCCGCGCGCCGCCGTTGGAAACCTCGATATACTTGTACACGTGGTCTGTTAGACGCCAGTTAAAGACAAATGGGCGTTCTAACCCGTGGCGCGGCCGTTTAAATGGAAACCTGTAATTACGAGGCAGAGGAGAGATGTATCTTTCTTATCCGAGATGTGGCTGAAGGCTTACAAATTATAGTAAGCTGGAGATTGTCCCGATACACAAGGTAGGCGTTCGCGCCGTGGCCCTTATCTAATCGTTACGCTAATGTAGGAAGAGACGAATTGGTTTACTTTAACAATTCAGCCTTGGTTCAAGTGCATTCTCGTGCGACGCGAATTACTTTCAACATTTCACACTTTTCGTTTCGGCATTAGTGTTAATTTTTGTTAGAAAACAACTTTTGTTCAATTTTTTGACGATCGATCGATCGATCGACGTCAAGTTAGGCACGTTTGAAGGCGAATTTGAACAATTCGAATAATCACGATAAAACTTTGTTTTTCAGAATCGGGAGGACGGCATTCCAGATAAGCGTTCAATTCCGCTCGTCGGCGCAGAGATTCGTTGGCTTTTCGGTAAGTGATGAATCACCGCTGTCATACGCCAGGTGTCGTACATCAGGGCGAGAACGCGTTCCGCGTCGCCGCGGAACGGCGATGTCACGTCTACCGCGCGGAATCCGCTTTTACACACGTCCCGCCGAAGCAAATTACGCGGGATCTCACGAAGTGCCCGTGCGTTTTACGCTTCGACGGACATAATTCTCGAGATTTGCAATGGGGTGGAACTCTCTCACCGGCACTCTCAAACGCGCGACTATGCGCGCATGTATTATTTCCGCGTTGAAATACGTTGTGCACTCCGCTCGTCACATCGGCGCTGTTGTACGCGCGTATAATTATTTACTTTACCTAAACGCACATTAACACCTTTGATACGAGCGTGCTTTTGCGCTGCTGCGTGCGGCCGTTATTTATGCGGCTCTGCAAATCTGCGTTTAAATTCGTCGTTCTACGCGCGGTAAGTTAAATTCAGAATATCACAAAGTTAGTCTGCAAATCTTTAAATCGATTCAGTATTATTCACTAGAATTATCTCGTATCAATTTTCACCAAAATATCCTAATATCAGAACACTCGTCATTACGTTTAAATCCATTTCGCGGTGTTCCGCGTGCAAAAATTATAAAAAGGCAGGGAGCACTGTATATCGTAAAAAAAAACAATTCCTATTTTGTAGAATGAAAAAATGTTTACAAAATCTATTAAGCGAGAAATAGATTTTCATCGACATTTAAAAATGCGACGCGATATTATTTTGTACGTCATAAGTTTAGAAGCTGCAAGTTCGCCAGTGCCAACTTCTCATTAAAATACGGGCTCTCGACGACACTGTGCATTATTGCCAGGTTAATGGTACGTCATGTACGGCCGCGTGTCATGATTTGGATCCGCGCGTTCTGTGTACATTATGTGCACCGCTTCTTGCCCCGCGCGTGCACACATACGTGTACGCAGATTATGCGGCGCGGCGGCCGCCTCTCTTGCACGGCTCGTCTCTCCTCATCAAAGACCGAGGTTGTGTCGACGCGTTGAGGATATTCGCGCGCACAACTCACCGTATAAACAAAATTTACCCATGGACAACGCACGTGCGTTTGTCATATTTCAAAAACCTACCCGCTCCGCTGTCCCCCCTCGGTCCCTGCGGCTGCGTCGACGGTAATTTCAGCGTTACATCGCACCGACTTTAAAGGCCCGCCGTGTAAAAAAACCTTCAACCTCTGCCCGCCACCGGCCCCTCCCCCTCGCGTCCCCGTCCGCCAAAAAAAACAGCTGTTAATGTCTGTTAGTCGAGAATATTTCGTTAGCCGCATCGCGCGATGCGAGATTGCGCGGCGAAATGGTGGAAGCATGATGTATATTGTACACATGTGTCGCAGGGAATGTGAAAACACGGGCGTCACGGTTTTTTCGTGATTCCAACGTTGTGCGCCACGTGAAATAATAAAAATGCTCTCCCACTTATTGCCTTTGAGCGAATTTCGCTGTCCTGACGGACTCGCCTCTCGTAAAATTGCGTGTTTTCCTTTTGAGCGCAGATTAAACAATTGATGTTACACGATAAATTACCTTTTTGCATTATCCGTTTTATTTCACCGACGCGGCAACGTTCGAAAATGTACTCTCCCATTTATCCAGTTCGTCGCGATATCATTTTGCCAGCTTTTACAGCCAAATTTCACGTCACTTTTCGCTTTTGTCCACTTAAGACTGAGAGATCGATTGAAATAGATACGCGTCCGCGTCCCTCCATTGAAAGTATCCTTATCGCGCGATACTAATGCCGTTATACACTCGAGGGCGACGTCGGTGCGGTGTACTTTCCGCGACGTGATTTCTCTCTCGGAATTTCGGAGGACTCTGTTGTAATCGGAGACGACGTCTCGTCTCCGGCACCGAGAGAAGTCGTTCTGGCATCTCGTCACTCGGCCGTCTGCTTTCAACACGACGCCCGTCTCTCATTCGATGCCAGACGTCGCCTCCCGCACACTCTCGGCCAATATGTCGACCCTCTACGCTCGCAAAGTTATCCGAACATGAAAACCAATCGTGACAGTCGATCCTAACTGTTTCGCGTTACTTTTCAAAAGAAAACCAGACGCGCGCACACACACACACACACACGTACGTACACAGATTGCGATGGGCAACATTAAAATCTCTGAAACAACCTGAATTTAATGAAAATTTGCCGGCAGTTTGACAAATTTATATCATATAAAAATTAACAATATTCATCAAACTTGTGCCGCATTACCTAACCTTCAAGTATTTAATTAAATCTTGTTTTCTAATTTTCTTATAAATTGAAATCAAGTTTACAAATAAATTTCGTTCAATCGTTCGACAACACATGTCGCACTTAAATTATTCGCTTTTTATGTAGATACAAAGGGAGTGTACTTCCGCTGACGCCGCGGCTCCACACGGCGAAAGACAGAAGTGCGAGCTGACTGTCGAAGCCGATGGCACCGCCAGGCAGGCGGATTCCGATACGAAACGTATCATCAGCCGTCCTATTTTAATAACACGATTTTAGAGAGCCGCCCCGCCCCCGTCGACGTTGTCATTACGTAGCCGTCCGGGGTGATTTCGTCCGAAATAATTAGCGGTCCCGGTAGTTGTCTCTCGGCGGCGGGAGGGTCGGGATATAACGGTAATGGCAGGGTGCCGGTCCTCCGATAATTTCAACTGTGCTCGGGGACGCGGGCGGGAGCGGTGCTGCACGACCGAGGAGGGAATTAGGCGTAGAGGCGACTCCGAACGACGACGACGGCGAAGACATGCTTCTCACATGCTAACCCCGGTAACGAGCCGAGGCGCCAGATAAGTAGAGGGCACCCCGCGCCGGCCTCCGGGAAATAAAATCAGGAGATTGCGGCTGCGGAGAGGCGCCCCTCCGCCCCACCGTCCTTAATGCCACCTAACGCGGGCTGATTTATCAAAGGCAGTGCCATTACCGTATCCGGAATGGCCGCTGTTCGGACGGACTTTGAGATATGTCCGATTATGGACGGGTGTTCCATAAATCGAAGAGCTCTGGGGATAACGCTCCGAGGGAACCGCTCGCTGTCTCTCTCTCTCTCTCGCCTCTCGCCTGTCGGCGCGGGTAAACGGACGTGCGTGTTTCGCCTGACTTTATGGTTCCGGAGTTATGTTAATGGCAGTGGTATTACCCGCTGCCGCGGCCGCGATGACGTTTTATTAAGCGGCAACGTTCGCGGAATCCGCCGGGTTCTCATGGAGATGTGCGAACTGACGTTTCATGAACTCGGGCGCGCTGAGGTGCCTGGAAATATCAGCTCTTCGGCTGAACTTTCTTTTTCAGTGCCACGCAGAGCGCTCGAATGTCTCTTGTTTGGAGGTTTTCATCTCGGATTTATCATTCCTTAAAATGTATTTCAATTCAGCGGCGTTTTGTTATTTCTCGCGCCGCCGCCGCGGCGGCTCGTTTATCGATTGATAGATCGTCTTCCGTACGTTCGCGTCGCGCTTCCTGCTAGGCATTCACTATTTCCGCATGATGGAGCGATATGGCAAACGATCACGACGTACCGCAATGCGAATAAATCAGCATCGCGTGGCGGTTATAAATAGATGTCAGCAAATTTGTGCGAGATATATAGGATCGTGGTTTGCACAAGGGATTCCGATGCGATTTCGAGTCGTGGTCCGTCGCGATATTGCTGGTTTACGGGGGCTGCTGCCTCCTGGTGTCGCGGCAGCTCGGCATCGATGGGCCCGTTCTCCCGGAGATTCTAGAGACCTGTGGAAAAAAAAGAAAAATCCGCGCACGGATCTGGCCACGGGCATAAAAATGCAGGTCGTGCGCGCTTGCGCGCTGCTCGGCCGGTCCGACATCGGTGTTTTATGGCCGACAGCTTTGTGTGTTCCGCAGTAGGCATTATTTTTCCTTCTAAACTCCGTTATACCGGGAACAATGGAGAGATTAAAACGTAAAATATGATCTCTCGAGTATAGCCGACGGGCGTCGGGCTAGCGGGTGGGCGACGGAGGGAAAACGATACCGGCGTCTAGTGCCTACGGTAAATTTCGGAATATACCTGGGGTTACCTTCTTTTCGGGTCATTCTTTTTTCGTCACAGATGTGACGTAATGGTAGGAACAATTGATTTACGAGCTGATGCCAAAGTGCTAAAAAGAATGTTGCAACACTGATACACAACTTTCAATATTTATTGTCTCAATTATCTCGGTAGGATACTATATGATTTATTTGTCAGTTTTATTAGAGCAAAAATCGTGTTTACTTTTCTAACGTTTAGTTTACTTTGAAAGCGTTGACACTTTTACCTTTTCTTAGTTCTAGTAATACTTTTTAGACGTATTGACGCACTAGAATTATAAAACTAATGGCAAAAGTCATTTGCTTTGACAGTGAAACAATTTAACAGACACGAAATTGTATGCTTAATGCTCGATGGTCTCTCATGTCATCAAACGAGAGTAACAAATATTGTCAACGAGCAATAATTTTGTCTCTGACGTTCAGAGACAATTTATCGATAGATAAAAAATAAAAATTTTATAACGGAATATTTGATTCATTGCGATCTTATTTAAACGCAAATGCGCAAAAAGTAAAATGTGTTTAATTGATTCGATTCTTTATCGCATCAGTGTTCGAATAATTTAGACATAAAATTTATAAATGACTCGTGTTATAATAATAGGGGGAATCTAAAAGTAAAGGAACTTTTTCGATTCCCAAATTAAAAGTATTAAAAATGTCCCTTCATTCCTTCTTCGTGTATAATATATCGATGTAATATATGCAAATGAATTCGATTTATAGATTTACTCTTTCAATGCCCTGCGAATTTTACTTTACGTTTCTGCTTCGCAAAAGCGTGATTTTTAACATTTTCTTTCAATTTCGGTACACATTTCTTCGCACCTTCTAAGACGTTGATTTCACAATTATCGGTTTTCTTCTGCAGATTATTTCTCTTCTCGCACGTCGGCAAAAAGTGATCGCAGTGATAGACATT